ACAGTGTAATGGTAAGTTTTGCAGACTCAAGACCACGCCTGAACACTCTGCAGTGTTTGTTCGCACGTTATTGAGTTCCGACCCGCTTTTCGGCTGGTTTGCACTGACACACAATAGGATGAATTGGCATAATTAAAATTATAGTCATTCGACGATTTGCCTCGTGCTATGAAAATGCAGGGGAACGACTTCCCTTTACGGCATTGCTCACAGATTCATATCGCTAGTCGGGAGCGAACCAAAGACCTGTTGGTTTTAACAACTTGCCATAAAGTATGGGCAGTCGCAGGTTGGCTCTGTTCATAATAACAATAGACAATAGGAAACTCCTGTTGATAGAAGCTTTATTTATTCAGATTGTGGCGATACGTCCAACTTCTGTAGAATGTTCCGTAAGCGTGATTATGTGCACCTTCACCATGATGCGTATCTTCTATGCTTGGAACGTATATTTGGGTGCCAATGATATTCCTGTGTTTATGTCTAAATTATATGTCTAAATTTGCGTTCAGGCCATTCATTTCAAATAACCCGCAACTCAGTGTGTCATTCTCGTTATCAGTAGCTAGCAGCAATTGAAACACCCGGCGGTTTTGATGTAATCAAGACTTCGTCGTTTCCCGCATGTAAAACGTAGAACTGATTGTGTGCCGTGGCATTGTGTCATATATTGTCATCGTTGCTCACTGTGTTTGTCCATGGTCTGAGTTCCGAAGGTCTTAAACAGGAAAGGCGAAAGGCTTATAACCTTACTCTCCTTGGTTCAATATTATTATCGATACTTTATTTCAAAAGTGGTTTGTGCGTTCCACGAACGATCGGACCAGAGCTGCTCAATCAGTTGAGCTTCTGACCCAGAACGGATAGGCACCCTGTTCGAACCCTGGTCAGGCTCACTTGCCGTTCTTATTTTGAGGTTGATAAATGAGTGTGGGCGGGAAACAAGAGACTACACATTATGCTTCCCAGCGTAGTTGCTGTCGATTCTACCTTTAAAAAATTAGCTACTGCTGGCTGATGAAATGGACATGGAGAGCAGCTTCCCACTATTAGTTTCATGAAAAGAAGGGCGTCAGAAATGGCCCAGTAAATAAAGTATAAGGAAGACTGAGATTTCGGCGGCCACCAACTTTCTTTTTTCATATAAGCAACCATGCCCTCTGGCGTTAAAGGGCGCAGCCCTCTCGGTCACCAGTCACTTGCACCAGTTAATGGTATCATGGCATAGCATTCACGCGTGACGGCAGGCAGCACTTGGTGAAACACACACGCTCATGCACCGATACACTTACTTACAGGTCAGTCAAGCAACTCGAGAAATGCAAAACCTAAACCTGTCCGTACTGATGAAGAAAGATCTTAGTAATGAGGCTTTCTGCCTGGTAAAATCGCACCTGCTCTCCCATAGCTATGACTACCAGATATTGCTCAATAGAGTGCGATATCATTTATAGGCCGCAGCAGTGATGTTTTCTCGAAGAATTGCTGGTGTAGCAACCCTCAGCAAGGTTCAGAACAATATGGTAAGAGATTCCTCGAATGTGAACCGTCCCTTCCTTAGGGTCAAAAGGTAACGAAGGTCTGGCGGTTTGGAAAGTTGTCCAGGATGCTTACGAGATGCTGACGGACGGACTCTTTGCAAAACCACAAAGGATGCTGGATGGGATTAAAGCTAGGTAGCCGGCATCACTGAATATCTTCGAATCCATTTCGAATGGCTCGATCGTACAACGTAGATTGCGTCGCAGATTTTCTGAAATTGCTGTTCTTATAATTCAGCAGAATAAGGGACAATAATCGTGAATGAATTTGGCAATAACGATATCATCTCCATTGCAGATGTCGAAGATATGATGTACAGATTTTTAAAATTTATTATGCTGGATAAAGTTTTCCGAATTTTGATCTCAATCATCAACAGTCTTTTTCGTTTTGCTTATTCGTCTTGCTGTCGTCATCTTTTATTCAGGCCATGTTTGTGGCATGATTGCGCCGTGACAAAGAGGTCGACTTCGAAATCCGAAGGTGACCTTCTCGAATCCGCAGAAGAGACTGTCTGGCTTAATCGTAAATATCCTTGAGCAAATAATTTGTCTCACGTTGCCTTGGCGATTTCAGCCAAGAAACGGGTAGCATGTCGCTGACTTGCGAATGACAGGAGTAAC